ACGGGTACGTGTTGTGAATACTGCCTCTCGCAGCTGCACTACCTCCGCATTTGAATCTAAGAAAAGAAGATATATTTAAGTGGAAAAAAAACCTCCCAAATTCACTGCTATTAAGCTTCATTATGACGCACCTGTGTTGTCCTGCAGGCGGGACTGGAGAACCAGGTTTTCCTCTTTCAGGACTCTGATCTCATTAGACAGCTGAGTGACTGTGTCCAGGCCCTGGATGTAGATGTTTGTTGGCGCTGCTGAATAACAGAGGATGATTATTGTATTATATGGAAAAGAAAGATGTGTTTAAAGCTGATGTTGGAGGATGCATCACCTCCATCTCGCCCGGTGGAGGCCAGTTTCTCCTCCAGCTGCTGTCGGAGCCTCTCGTTTGTCCTGATGGACTCCTCCAGACGCTGACGGAGGCATCTCACCTCTTGCAGGTGCTCTTCTATCAAACTCACCCCTGGAAACAAACACTGAAGCAGTTATTTTACAAAGTCGAGGGTTTCTAACCATCTTCGTAACGCCACTAAATCAATGACTCACCTGCTTGGCTTCCTGTTTGGGGTCCAGAAAAGCCTCCAACTGGCTGAGCAAAGTTCTCAGAGTCCCATAAGGGTCTTAGACCCGAGTCAGAGTACTGCTGAAAGGCATGATGGGATAGCTGGTTGTAGCTGGAGAAATCCTGCTGGTGATGGACACCAGGTGAAAGGCTGAACAGAGTCTTCTCGCGGGGAACTGGAAAACCTTTAATTACACACAGGGGAGATGGAGTGAGTGAAATCGGACAGGAAACAGAGGATGGTGCTTGATGCACTCTCTGTAGCTCCTCACCGCTGTTTTGCTGGAGCATCTGTTTGTACAGCGTGTCCAGCTCTGGGTGAACAGCGATCACAGACAGAGCCCGAGGTCGGGGGTCAGAGGTAAACTCATAACCCCAGACATCAGGGCCAATGGAGGGGATGGAAGGGGAGGAGACAGATGCACTGAAACGGTCTGGAGGAAAATAAACCAAAATAAAGCAAAGAAAACATTTAAAAGGGTGATTTTTTTTTTACTTGGCCATCTGAGTCCCATACCTCCAGCTGACTGTATGCTTAGACCCACTGGGGCTGAGGAAAGCATGTTGGGACAGCTGCTGGAAGTCTTGAGAAGGCCACGATGAAGAGGGAGGGGTGGACAGACTAGAGAAGGGGTATGAAAGGTGAAGGGACAGAAAGATGCATTTCAGTACGTAAAAGAAAGACCCTAACGCTACCATCTGCTTCTGATGTGTGTCCGTGCTGCTGCCGCCGATGCTCCTCCTGGTACTCCCTGGTGTCCAAATCAGAGCACAGCTCCAAGTCCTCGTTGATCTGGTACTCATCAGACACCAAAGAGGTTCTGTCTGATTGGTCGGTGGTCTCAGAGAGGGCGTGGCAGCTGGACGGGGTCTCAGGGCGTTGCTGGAGTTTGGTGTGGACGGACTCTATGAAGTTATCTTTCTGCTGCAGCTCCTTGCTCAGCCTGTAGGAGCGTGCAACGGTGAGAATGAATAATGTGGGAAAAATAGTGGTTTTTATGCTCACCTTTTATTATTAGGAGTGTGTGTAGATTGTAATTTTGTTAATAATGAAAATCTTGCTGACACACCTTAAAGCAAGTGTCTCGTGACCTGCCGTATCCCCGTGGCTCTCTGCAAGCTCACCTATGCCAACGAAACAAGAAAGAATTAAAAAAATGAGAAAAACAATGAGAACAGAAGTAAGTTTCCTTGATGAGAAGCTTTTTCTTACATCCACTCATCTTGGTGAGAACTCTCTGTGCCAGGGCGCTGCCCTGAGCCAGCTGCTCTCTGAAGCTTTGACCCATGTAGTAATCAACGTCATTGGCCCGCAGGAGCTCCTCAAAGGCCTGAAAGTTGAGGGTGGATTTGAGAATAAAAACAAAAAATAAAAAATACTTGTGCTGTTTGAATGTTTTTTCTCCTCATATTGTAGAAACTTGATGAGGTAATGCCTCCGATCATTAACATGTGCAGCACCTTGGTGGTATCTCCCAGGTGTTGTGTCAGGATGTGACCAAATCCCTGCCCCTCCCTCATCCTCTGCCTCAGGTGGGACAGCTCGCGGGCTTGTGCCTGAATCAGAGAGTTGTACTTCCTGTGCAGAAAGGAAGAGTTAAAAAAGAAATCAGTGAATGGAGATTAGTCATAACAGCTGTCCTTAAACGCCTTCTCACCCAGGCCAGGTGGCACATTTGCCCTCTTCATCTCGACCTTTGCCCTCCACCTTGGTTGTCTTTAGCTGAGCCTCAAGAGAAGCAACTCTTTCCATTAGCTCCTTCAGCTCCCTGCTAGGCTTGCAGCTGGACCGGACCTTCTGGGTGTCAGACATCCAGCCTTCATCCTCCTCGACACCACTGGGGGCTGGTGATTTCTCAAACGCCCAGTTCACCTAAAGGTTGAGCATGAAGCAGATGAAGAAGAAACCTAAAGGTCAGACGAGGCTGTGAATAAACAGGTCCACACCTTTCGAGGAGTGCGCTCCAGGCTGGAAGCGTAGTCGCTCGTGGTAGATAATGAGCGAACTCGTAGCTGAAGGCCACGGATCACTTTGTGGCAACGAGCCAGCTGAGAGCGCAGATCCTGGACCAGATGCTGAAGGGATGCCGACTCGTTTTCCTCCCTTTCATACGCCGTTCTGTTTCCTGCGTACCAGCCACCTCCCAAAGCCTCACACTCCTGATGATGGGACAGAGAGGTGCACATCTCCAGGTCGTCGAACTCTGAGTTAGGGCGACATGAGGAGACATATTGATAAACTCAAGCATCAGGGGTAGTGGGCGTAATCTGATCTGAGACCTGATCTGTGTGAACCACCTGGGCTACTGGTGTCCTCCCTTTCAGCTTCATTCTCACTGCGACCGCAGGTCTCATAACCCAGATCCTGGAGGTCCACCTGCACCTGTTTACTGGCCTGTTGGACAGATGTCTCTGCTGCAGAAACAGAAGGAAGTCACAACCCTACTTTAGTGTTTCCAGTCTCCCTCTACAAATAAAGTGAGGACAGACTCACTGAGCAGATCTCTGTAGTCTTTCAGCTGTTCAGCCTGAGCCTGCACCGTGGCTTCAGAAACCATCAGCCTCTCCTGCAGGTCTCTGTTCTCCTGGAGACTCCGAGTCAGATCGGACTGGAGACGGACCTTCTGCTCATGAAGACTCTCTTCAATGTCCTGCCAGAGTCCTCCGACCTTACTGCCTCTCCCTGCAGACTCAACCTTCTGCAAAAACATAATTGTTCTGCTTATTATTCAAAATAAAACTCTGAGGAACATTTTCCTACATATCAAAACCGAATTTTCAGGACATGTCACCGTGTGAGATTGGTGGGACGTCAGGTCCAAAGAGCGTGGCCTCATGCAATGCCTCTTCCCGGGCTCATGGCTCTGACCAACACCTGGAATTCCACGCTTCCCAGACACCACAGGAGATGTTTCCAACTCTTCCTCCTCTTCTTCTTCATTCAGGTCATCCTCCATGTTTGTCCTCAGCTGCACTCCCTCATATTGCCTCTGGTGTTCTGTCAAAGCCTGATTCTCCTGCTGCAGCAGCAGGAGGGCAGTCCTACGAGGAGAAACACAGCATTACCAAAATAAAGTCCAACTCTTCAAACAGCCCAAGAGGTGAAAATACTTGAGTCAAAATTGAAGAGAAGCTGAAATTAGCACCTCATCTCAGCCAAAGAGCCGAATCCATCATCGTCCAGCTGTGACTGTATTGCTCCAAGCTCAGCTTCAAGTGCCCTCTTAGCGTCTTCCAGCTGTTTCATTTCAGCATTTTGGAGGACGGACTCTTCAGCCACACCATCAGGACTCTGAGACGACGCTAAAGCCTAAACGTTAGAACAAAGCAGTTGTTATATCCAGTTGTCAGCTTTAAATGACACTTAAGAGGTGAAATATTTCACCTGAGCAGAGTTAAAGTCTCTGCTGCTCCCTTTGTTGTCCTCCTCTATGCTGTCCGTGAACTCTTCACTGCTGCCATCTTCATTCTCTCCCTCCTCCTCTGAGCTCAGCTCTGGAAGCACAACTACCGTTCAAAAACAACACACTAACTTTTCTCCTCTAATTTTAATCCTAAACTGCATTTTCCTTCCAGTTCTCGTGCTTTTTTCCCCGCTACAACAATCCACCATCCCACAGATCTGCCTGTGCTCTGAATCATCCCACTGGAAGTCATGGGACCGACAGGAAAAGAAGTTATGTCATGTGTTGCTGTTCGGCCAAAACACTCAAACCTGGGCAGCTTGATTTGTGCGCTTTAAACTGACACGGGTGCTATAGATCCAGCAGTTAGCGCAGAGTTTTTTCAAGTGAGGATCGTTTTGCAGGGGAAAACAAAGGATGAATGTCATTTTCAGGAAACAGAAATTCAGCGAAGTGACTCGCAAGAATCTCAGGAATTATTAATTAAAACACTTAAGTGCAAACAGTGGATGTGCAGTTGCACTTTAAACTTATGTATGTTTAAAGTTCCTCCAATTTTATAAAAGAGGGAAAAATCTGAATTTGTTTGTGCTGCTGAGGAGGGAAAACGGAGCTTTTATTGGGATTCCGATGAGCTCCGGTTGAATGTGAGGATCTGTTTTCACGTTGTGGCCCTATGGATTATTTTATTTGGGTATGGTTTAAACAACCCTTATTGCTGGTGATTGTGAAACCCCATCTGGGTACTGCAGAGGAACAGCCATGCAAACATGAAGACCATGCCACAATCCCATGCATGAGGATGCAAAGACATGAAGGGACACTCGTCTGGGGGATTATCACAAATATTCAATATTTCATTTTCATAATAGCGTGTTTTTCTGTAGAATTTCACTTTTATTCATCACATATAAAATATGGACATTGAGGGAAAAGAATAAACTGTTTCATAGTTTAAAATAGGAGAGAAGAGGATTAGATTTTGGGAATGAAAAGGAGCAGGTAGGAGATTCCAGGTTTGGGATATTCCTAAACATAACCCCCGTTAAATAAGACCATACCAAAGGTGCTTTTGACAAAAAGCAAGCACGTTTATTTTTATGCATTTAAAACACAAAAAAAAACTTGACAATAATTCCATATTTGAGGCCAGAAAAATGAATCAGAGCAAAAATCTAAACTAAAAATCCTGATTAACATCCTGCAGTTTCAAATGTCTAATTAGCGGCTCCGATACATGCAGACGTGTGTGTTTGTGGTGCTATCTCGTCTAGCAGATATATTAAACGTGATGCTTATCTTTACTAATTACCATTAATAATATTGCATGCCCCTTTCCTGTTATTTAAAGAGATGAACCTGTTTCATGCATATCTACTGAAACTAAAACACTGCTGTGGACTGAAGTAGCAGGACATCGTATCAGATGTGTAACTCGGGTCGTTGTTGAGCGCACACGTCCCCACAGACAAACAGATGAGCTCAAACAAATGAAGGATGGTGGAACGCTCCGCTGTAAGGCATGAGCTTGTGTTTCTCCACAAGACTGAACCTCACTGTGACATTAAGGCTGGAAGAGCGACACTGGTGAGAGACAGTACACAGAAATGGTAATACAGAGACTACAGAGCAGGCAGCTGCCCAAAACAATGTCGAAATACGTTCACACAATAAGCGCAGGTTAATAAATAAAACTCAAGAGTTGCACATATTCCATCTCAAACAGGTTAATCCCAACTCTTGAGTAGAGTTTGTGCTGACAGGGCAGAGCTGCTTCCAGACCGAGGGTCAGATTCTAGTTTTACTTCATTAGTTTCATCTTATGAACACAGATTTGTCTAAATTCGACCCTGGGGGTGTTAGAAGCAGCTCTGCCTCACAGTAACAGTGACTCAGCGACGCTGAGCGATAGTGAGAGTGCCGCCTGCAGCCTCAGAGGCCGGACCCTGCCCATTCCCACCTCCAGAGACAGCCTGCCCTTTAGCTGCCCTTTCCAGTGACAGAGCCGTTCTACGGGTCCTGGTCAGGACCTCTTCTAGCTGTCCACGGAGTGCCTGAACAGAATCGAGCTCAGTGTGGAGCCCCTGGATCTTCTCTAGGTTGCTGCAAAAGGAGGAAGGTTTGTAAAATCCACAGAAGTTCAAATAAATTAGGTGAAATCACACAAGACGGGAGTGCTTTGTCCTTACCCGTCACTCCTGAGAAGGCGTGTCAGGTTTTGGTATGATCTCTTCTCAGCCTTTAGAGCATCATTCAGCTTATTGTACTCACTCGCCAGCTGTTCTAACACACTCTAAATCACAGTGACAGAGGAAACACACACAAATCAGACATTATTAAGAAGAAGCTTCTGGTAAAAGACAGAAAACCCTACTTGGTGATCAGTGCTGTCTTTTGCAACCACTTCATCCAAAGACTGACGTAGAACAGAAATCTCCTTCTGCAGAAACAAATAGAAACCTTTAAAGGTTACAAACGTGTGTTTTTGGAGTATCGTCTCTCCGGGGTGCACAAATACACACCCGAGCCTCCATCTCCTTCTTCAGCACCTGCTGCAAGTCCTCCTGCAGAGCCTTCATCTCTGCCTCGTGTTCCTTCTGCACGGCTTCTCCCTGAGCCTGAATCAGCTCCTGACACAGAGGATACACGCTGAAGAAGAGGACAGAGACAAGAAGAAAGCAGAAGGACGACCAAATACCTTAATGAAGGTTTCCTTCTCTTTGAGCAGCCTTCGTAGCTGCTCTGCTTCTCCTCCTGTCTCCTCCTTGTCGCTCCTCAACCCACACAGCTTCTGCTCAGCCTGCGTCAGCTGTTTGCGGAGCTCCTGCTGCTGGTTTGTTCGCTCACTAATCACTAAGGACAGCCTGTAGGAGTAGTCCTGGCAGAATAAAAAAATTGGTCAGTATTTCTTTCTGATTCATTCTCAGATAGTTGTGTATTCATGCCACCACCCCTGTCTACCTGCAGGTACTGATCTTTGGAGGTGAGCGCGTTGAGCAGATCCTGGACCTGTGCTTGGTGCTCATTAGCCTGGCAGCTGCGGTCTGACAACAGCTCCTGGAAGAGCTTCTCTTTTAGAGCCAGACGAGCCTTCAGCTCCTCCACCACCTCAGCGGGACCAGCCTGGACTCTAGCAACCAGGGAGGCTGTTAGATCCTGCACACACAAAACAAGAAACTAAAGTCAGTAAAACCTGCTGCGCCATTAAAGCTAAATCTGGCACCGTGGGTTTGGCCTCACAACCATAGAGGCTCACTGAGAGTGTGCATTACCTGCACCTCCTGGCTGCGTGTCTGCAGCGCTGCCTGTAACTGGTTAGTGATGGCGTCCTTCTCTCTCAGAGCATTCCTATCCTTCTCCTCGCCCTTCTGCTTTAACCACTGGAGGTTCCTGTAGGCCTCCGCTGCTTGCTCCAGTTCCAGATCTTTACCTCTCACCAGAGTATCCAGACTCTGACAGTCAGGATCGCAGGAGGAATAAAACAGAGACGTCAGATCCTCACTCTGATCTCAGCACCGGTAAAAGAAACCAGTGAGAACTCGGACGCATACCAAGATTGTTTCTTCATTGTTGGACAGGATGCAGCGGAGTCTCTCCAGGTCTCGTTCCTTCTCCCTGAGGGCCAGCTGCAGCCTCCTCACCTGGCTGTCACGTTCCTCCAGACAGCTGAACTTATCGTCGATGGAGCGCTAGAGCAGGAATCAAAACTTCTGTTAACACACACTCTACACCAAAAGGTCCTTGCTCCTACCTTATTCGGTGTTTACCTCCAGAGCTTTGTCTCTTTCTTTGATCCGTTCCCTCAGCTTCTCCAGCAGGACATCTCTTGGTTTGGAGCTTTTTGTTGACTCCAACATCTCAGAATAATCCTGGATTCAATACATTTTATACACAGGATGATAAATCTGTAAAAATGTTTGTACAAATGTATCTGTGTGGAGGTAAAGAGCGAGAGGTCACCTGGAGCTGCTGCTCCTTGTCCTGCAGGAAGCGTTTGAGCTGTTCGATGATCTTGTCTTTCTCCGCTGTCGCTGCAAGCTTTTCTGCCTCACACGCCTTCAGGGCTGCTTCTTTAGTCTGGAGCTCGGAGCGGGTTTTCTGAAGGGCGCTGCTCAGGTCCTACAGCAGGCAGACGGGAGGTTAAATCCCTCACGCATCAGTGTTTCGTTTGATCACGCATCTACAAACAAACACTGACCTGGTTGTGTTTCTCAGTGACCTCCCTATGCTGCAGGGCCTCTTGCAAGTCAGAGTTGAGTCTGTCCCTGAATCTCAACAGGTCGTCTCCTTGCCTTTGGCTCTGTTTTAGATTCCTCTGGCTGGCCTCCAGCTCCAGACCAACGGAGAACAAGGAGCTCTGAACCCGGACCAGCTCGGTCTGCAGCTGGGCCAGCGTCAAGGATTCACTCATCGCCACAGAAGCCTGGAGAAAGATGGATCACAACCAAGGATGAGACAGTAACTATTCTGCTTCGTAGATGTTTTTGGCCTAATTTGTGGGATTTGGACTCCCAGGAAAACACAGATGTCAGGTCTCACCTGGCTTTGAGTTAGCTGGTTGCGATGGGCCAGTTCTTGGAGCTTACACAGAGTGTTGTTTTGTCCTTCGATCAGATGATACAGCTCCTGGGCCTTTAGAGCAAAACAGATTATAAAAAAACAGCTTTTTCAAATATTGCCTTGCACTGTTCTCTCCCTTTATGACACACACCTCGTTGTCTTTGGTACTGATGGACTCTGTGAGGCCCTGAATGGTCCTGTCTTGACTTTGAGCAGCCTGGCGGAGCAATCTCAGCTCACATTCCATCTCAGTCAGCTTCTCCTGCAGCTTCTGGGTACGACAAACAAGATCATCAGACCTCAGTGTGAAAAAATGATCCATCTGTGTGGGTTTTTTTGGGTGCCGCACCATATTGTTGGCCTCGCTCTCCTGGATCTTTGCCTGCAGAGATTGCACCTGGAGCTGGGCCTTCTGCAGCTCGCTGACACACTGACCGGCCGCACACTCGTACTGGTTGAGTTGACTCTGCTGCTCCTCCACAAGACTCTGCAGAATATCATTTGCACAAGTGTCAATCACGAATACTGATCTACAATAAACTTTACTCGTTTGTGTGTATTTCATGAAAGGCTATGAGCCAGATGAGCATCTGCATGCACGAGTTACCACGTCCGAGTGCATCTTTGCATAACCAGCGTGGGACGCTTCCAGCTCGCACAAAGTGCAGGAAAAATATACAGTAATTGTCTTTTTTCCAGCATCAAAAACTAGAAAACGGTGTTCTTGTAGTGACCCATCAGCGCAGAAGAGAGAGGGTGGTCTGACATCACGTGGATCCCTTTGCCTTAAGGGCAAGTGAAAATAGGTCGGTAGAGGAGTCACTTTGTCTTATTGTCTCCACTTATCTAACCTACTTCAGTCAGCAGCACAGGCTTGAGAAGGAACGAGACCTACAGAGAAATATTGTCTAAATCAGAGAAAAATGCATCCTCTTCACAGAAAACCATTGATTTGAGGGAGCACTGGACAACGATGCACGTATAAAAACTACTGGAGCAGAAAATGATGAGCAGCAATCCAAACTCCTGTGTCTAAAGGCCACTTTAAAGAGCAAGTCACCCCCAAATAAACTTTTTTTTTTGCTGATAAACTAAATAAACGAGTGTCTAATCGTGCTGCAGACACGTGTAGTCAATAATTTGCCACTTCAGTGCATCTTAGTTAAAATTTAAATATTCTGCCTAAAACTGGCAGTGTTGTGCCGTTGTCAGGTAAAAACTCTGCACTGTATTTTAATTTCAATCTGCCACCGCTATTGGCTAAGAGGTATGCTATGATGTAAACTGGTACATTATGATGTCACAATGCTGTTATGAGCCTGTGTGTGTGTGTATTTGTTAGTGGCTCCGCCCTCTCGGTCTGCCAAGCAACAGCATTTGTTGCATTTTTCAGACATGAAGTGGGAGTAGAGTTAGACTCTGGTAGGGGTTGGCTTGCTCTTTAAAGTGTCTTAGATCTTAATCCACTCATTTAGAACAACATATTAATGATATGTATAGCTCTGTCTTACATTTATACTTTAGAGGTCGATTCAAATAATTATCTACTTTGTCAACAACAGCAATGACCTATTTGCATGTGCACTCACACACAGTCATTAGGTAATCAGGCCACTGCACTTGTAAGACATGATATGCCCACACATGGAGGAGTGGACACACACACCGCCTCAGCTCACATCCTCTCGAGCTGAAGCTATTTGAAGAGGCTGTGGGTAGGATAAGTAACTAACAGCTGGATTACGAAGCTGCTTATGTTAAAAAAAGAGACGGGAGTAATTCTTTGTGGGCCGGGTGAGCTGTCAAACATCAAAGCTTGTTAGGCCGGTTCACTCAGGATGCTGCAGATTTGCAAAGCAGAGGCAAAATCCTCTACAGTCGACTCTTTAATACCTGGTGGGGAGGTTGGGGAGGATACTCTTTGTATAAGTCTTCTAATACATCCTCCATGTCCAGGAAGCTCAGAGGAGGATGCTCCCCAACATCCACCCTGATCAGAGGGGCCTCCAGCTCAGGTGTTGGCATCTGGTTGTCTGGGGTTCTAAAAGGCGTTGCTACGATAGGACAAGGAAAGCTAAACCTTCCATTACTAGAGCTTTGTCGGAGCAGGACGGGGAGCTTGCTTCCCCTGATGTTCCGAACCGGCCGGTAAACAGAACAGCTTTGCAGCAAACAGAAGGTCAGGGAAAGGTTGGGCCCAGGCGAGGCTTGTAGTGTCCCCATGTGCTCCTCAGACAATGAGTCAGACATTTGGTCTTCAACGTCCTCCCTGTGAGAGCTCAGACGTCCATCCGCCATGCCTCCGTGCTGAGTGTATTCCTCAGCGTTCTCCAGGGAGGTGACAGAAGAGCTGGAGCTGGCTCGTCCAGCCAGTGTGCGATCACTGTCTGATGTCCTCTCCTGGGATCCGGGGACCAGGGTTCGAGAAGACGGGTTTTCTTCTGAATCATCCACATTTCTTCTCTCTGCCTCTCCACCTCCCCCAGTCGCACTCCCTCCGATAACACTGGCTGAGTATCTCGTTGATGGCCCACAAGAGGTACTCCGAGCCAACTTCCTCGGCACCTTACAGACAGCTTCATAGTCAGAGTCTGCCACCCGCCAGTGGGAACATCCCCGACATCTCCTGGGCGTGCTGTGCACATAGCGGTGGGAGCTCACACCTGTAGCCTCTGACCCAGGACCAGCAGAACTCTGAGGGTGCTGATGATGGTGGCACTCCAGGCCATCTTCAGCCCAAGACTCATACAGACAGTAGACTAAATCCTCCTGGAGTAGGGCACAATACTTTGCATGAGTTAAACCTGACATATCTACCATCCCATCTCCTGACCCGTCACCAGTTCCAGTTAACTTTGCATCATCCTCATCTGAGTTGGTTCTCCGGTACAGTCCACTGATACAGTGTCGCAGCCAATGTTTCTCCTGCAGGAGCCTTTGCAATCTTTTGAGGGACAGGGCTTCAACGCGGGCGATGACTGTGTCGAAGCGGTACATGCGGTCCAACATGAAGGTGCACTTGGAACAGGCAAACTCTCCCCTGCCATCTCGGGTCAGCTCTCTGCCCAGAGCATGGGACAGCAGCACCTGTAGGTTGAGTTTGGCAGTGGGGTGGAAGATCCATCGCCTCTGGTTACCACAGAGCTCACGTCCACAGATGCGACACGCTTCCTTCATCTTCAGATCAAGCATTCTACAGGCTTTCAAACATCAGGAAGCAGCAGCATATCATAGGTTATGCAAAAGGCATATTCTTGAAAGATCTCGTTCAGGAAGAGCATTTATCCCAGTACAGTAATTCTACTGGATCTGGGGGAAGTGGTCCCTGCAATGGCAGTTGAATCAAGTGGGTTAAAAATCCTGGCTTGTGGAGGGATGCTCGTGCAGTCTCGGACAAGATCAAATTAGAGCCAGTGAATCGTGTCAGAAATGCAGGACCAGGCTTTTGCAGAACGTGCAGGAGCATCAGGAATATGGCGCAGAAGGGGAATGCCTCTTTAATCAGATGTAGTCTCTTTCTGTATAGCGTTCACTCGCTGTGTCCTGACACCGTCACACGCGCTTTCGCATCACCACATCCCGGCTGTCACACGAGCCGCGCCGACAGGTTCATCCTGAATGGGTATATATCCGGGGAGCCGCTGTGATGATCCTCCGGCCTCCACACGGACACGCAGCCGTAACAGACGACCGGGAACAGTCCTCCGAGTCCTGCACTGGTGTCAGAGGCTGCTCGTTCATTTCAGAGCTGCGAACGGTATCTAGTCGGAGAGAAGCACAGGAAGCACGCGGTAACGTCGGAAATCCTGCGGGCTGACAGAGGCGCGAAGCTACGGAGGAGACAGACCTGCAGCGGCGGAGCGAACCATTCAGAGAGAGCGGAGGGGGTGGAGGAGCTCGGGGGAATTTAACAGCCCGGCCCACGGGGACATATTCTCAGTGATTTCTACTTTAAATAACAATAATGTATATAAAACACGAATATAAACAAACACTTCATCAAACAAATTTGTTTTATTTAATAAACTTGTAGACTGGTTGAGCCCCCCCCCCACCCACCCCACCAGGAGCTGGTCTCATAATCCGGCATGAGCTCTGTGCGCATGAATGCACAGGTGCTGTATTTGTTGGTTGTCCTCTTTAACACACACACACACACACACACACACACACACACACACACACACACACACACACACACACACACACACACACACACACACACACACACACACACACGCACACGCACACGCACACACACACACACACACACATGTCCGTCTTTCTATCATAGTGAGGACCGTCTATTGACGTCCATTCATGTTTGTGACTCCACTATGCCTAACCCATACCCTAACCATAACCAGTGCTGATCTATCCCTAAACCTAACCTTAACTAAAACTTAATTCACACCATAGCTCTAAACCCAACTGGTAAGCTTCTAAAAAAAAGTGAGGACCAAAGAAAATGTCCTCACTTTGAAAAATGCCCTCACATTGTAGGGAAAATGGTCAAAATGGTCCTCAGTATGTAGTAAGTACAAGAACACACACACGCGCGCGCACGCACACACACGCACGCACGCACGCACACACATACTTTTATGTTTTCAGTCATTTGCACAATGAGTTCCCCAACCCAAGCTTGGTTTTATTTTAATATAATATGAAAACGTGTGAACTTTCAGAACATTAATTGGCATTTTGATATTAAAGTGGCTGGCAGTCCTCGTATCACGTTGCCAAATAATCTGCAAATGCCCCAAGACTGTTTTTCTCTGTTTAACTAGTTGCTACACTGCTGACATAAAACAACCAGTCTCATTATGATAACCAACAACAAGGCCTTTATTCAGCTTTAACTTTGCTTGTTTGCCTCCCCAATCATGTGTTAACACCCCAGTGTTGTTTTCTAAACCCATCACTGATGTACTTTCACCCTCTTAGCAGTGTTCCTGCACCACGTCATCCTGCACATCCTAATAACATGTGAGAGTTGTGTATCTTCTTGTCTGCTAGAGGCTTATGATTGCTGCATATTTGAAGGTTAATTATTGAGTCTGAAACATTTTGTTTTGAACCACATGTCTCTGCAACATCTGTGAGAGAGTAGTCATTGAGAATCGCAACATGAGGCATATTTCTGAGCCATTTCATTCCAAACATAACCCAATGTTGTGTTGTAAAGCTGCTTTAGAGGTTAAAAATAAAACTGGGAAGGATCCAGAGAGTTTGCATTGATTACCCTCCTCTTTGTCCTCAGCCGTCACAGATTGGCTAAACATCTGTGGTGGCTGGGGAGTTCATTAAGAACTCGGATGGCTGGTGTTGCTGTGAAACAACAACACAACTTGATATCAGTGTCAGGGTCTCTGAGCACTCAGAGGTCGACCTGACCCATCGACCCTCCTGCTGAAACCGGAGCTGCTAAAACAGCTAAACGCCTGCTGCACTCACGCACATTTGAAAGGAAGCACTTCTTGGAAATGTGGTCACACACCAGCACAAACACCTAAACAGTGGCTGTCCCTGATGGAAATCCTAAACAGCTAGCTAAAGGTTTCCTATGATGATCTCTGCTTCGTCAGATCAGGGCCGACTGATCTAAGCTGTGCTGAGAATCTTTTTGCACATTTCAAAATGCAGGTAACCTAGCGTACTAACAGTCCAAACTCAGTAAACAAGCTCTGAACTGCTCAGGCTGCTCAAGCGTAGCATCAAACACGCTCATGGCACGTCACCAACAAACACTCAGCTGTCATCTGATGAAAACTCGCACATTTTTCCTGTCTCCTTTCATCGTGCAGTAATTGGAGTTGAAAACCTGCTGAGCGAGTACATTTGCATTCTTCATTTCAAATTTGATTTACAAGTTAAAACGACTGCAGAGGCACAACACGACGCTGCCAATGATAAACACGCCCAACAACAAACACGCTCGAGGCAATACTGAGGCACAATAAAAGGCAAACATCAAGAAGCACTGAGATAAATACAGCTGAATGATTACGATTGTTAGTTTAAGCAAAGGAAAATCCTTTTGTGTGGGTTGGGAGAGTGTAGTGGTTTTATTAGGAGAGCTGTGTGTCCTTGGGGATGTCACTGCAGTCATGGTGTGTAAAGGAAATGAGATTCTGTGTGATGAGATAAAACAGGAGCTGCCTCCTGCAGGTTTCTCATGCTCACAGATTTTTTTCTCTACTAAATCTGGATGTTGTATTTAATAGAATGCACACAGAAAATTGCAAAAAGGGCTCACAATGGGACATTTTACTGGTCATTTATCTAATCTTTACTCTGATGTGAAGAACCATTGCTGCAGTGAGCTACAGTAAAAGTGTGACTTTGTCTTTTACATGATTTCATGCTTACATAAAGTTTGTTATATCATTATAAGTATATTTAATAGATATTGTATTGATTTCTGCACAAAACTATCTGCAGATATAAAAATCATTGTTGCATTCTCAAAACTGTTATTTTATATAGAGACTTTTGTTAACTTGTACAATTTTGTGGTTCTGTAACAAAACTAATAGTTGAAATAGAAATTGACATTACATTTTTTTTATTTTAATCAGTGTAAAATATATGATCAACTACTTATTAATTAAATTACATATGGATGATGTTTTATCTCAGTTTGTCCATAAGGAGGCAGAATTTCTATAATAGAGCACTTTACTCTTTTAACATCAGAAGTGACGCTCATGAATGTGAGGACATTTTCTTGTAATATTTTATAATCATTTTTGTTCCTAAAAGCAATTTAAACTCATAAAAAAACTATGCATTGTAATGTTGATTTTTGGTCATATTTCTGTTCTGAGACCGCTAAAGGTGGCATCGTTTAACCATTTTACTTAACACATTCAAACCTTTCTTCCCTAATAATAATTATTTGAAATCAAGAGCTAAAATAACAAAGATGATTGTTTAATTGTTGTTTTTATGCTGAAATAAACATTCCAAATGTTAGTGATAGCGATTTACACACCTGCATCTCCTCTTCGATCCGCAGCCTCTCGTGACCAAGTTCCTCCTGATAGAACTGCACAATTTAAAAAAGTAAATAAGAAAACTTTGGGTATAATCATCAGAAGTGGGGAAAAAATCTGTTTCATGACATTTTTATAAGTGATTATTCTTAGAAAAATAAACAATCCCTCACCTAATCTCACATGTTTTCATTGATATGATGGTTTGTGTTTATCTAGATTTTGGTGTGTGCAAACAGGCCTTGTATGTTCAAAAAGCTGTTTTAATAATTGCTTCATTAAACTGCTTTAGGTGCGTTTGTTTAAAAAAACAAATCTTCCCAAAAGAGATATTGAGGTCCAGTCATCATAGGTGAATATTTTAGAAAAACATGAAAAAATTCAATTGAGACATTAACTAGGAAGATAGAAATAAAGACCCAAAATACCTCAACATCCTTGTCCTTCTGCAGGAGAGATGAAGACAGCTCCTGAACCTGTTCCTCCAGCTCTTCAACCCTGAGGGTGAGGGTTTTCTTCTCTCCACAGAGCTCTGAGACGAGAGCCTCCTTGGAGAGAAGCTCTTTAGTTAGGTCCTCTATTAGCCTGAAGGAAAACGGCAGGATTGATCTGATTAGTTTGGTGTTTTTGAAGATAAAACCTAAGTCATAGCTACGTGTTCTGCACCTGTCCTTGCTGCTGCTGGATGGGGACAGGATGTGCGGGGGCCTCTCGTCTTCAGGGACCTCCTCCATGGCGGTGTCTAAGGATGCAAGGGAGGCGTGGGAGTGAGATCCAGCAAGCGAGGCCATCCGCTCGGCCTCTCCGCGAGCTAACTGGGCCTCCTGTATAACATATAGGAGCTCATATGATTTCATGACAAAAGTGTGTGTGTGTGTGTGAATATCACATTGTGTGGAAATGCAGCAACAAACCTCCTGCAGGAGCTGGATCTTCGTCTCGAGCACCTGCTGCATGTGGTCAATTTCCTGCTGTCTCTCCTGACACCGTCTCTGCCGCTCTGCCTCATTGTCGCTGGTCAAGCTCTCTGCTGTTGTGCTGAAGAACAAAACCAAGATGCATCGCAGAGCTCAATTCAACTCAGATCAATATTTAATTGTTGTTTTTGTTTAGCTTTATTAAATAATAGTTGCATGTAATAAAAGTCTGAATGTTTTTGTCTGGTGTCAAGTTAACTGACAAATCTAAAAGTAATCCCTGAAACAGTTACTGTACCAGTCAATGTTAGAAGTTACATTTAGTTACTGTTCGTGTGATCACACAAATGTCCGAGGCGTCAGTTTTAGGACCTGATGGAGACATCAGCGTGAGCCAAGAGAAAATCTGACGTCACCATGTGTTCATCTGCTGCTGCTGGACTCTGGTATGTTCTTATAGCTGAGATTATTTAGGGTCCCATCATCGTAGTGAAGGCTGTTATTCTTGTAGACGCATGAAAGATCTGATGGATTATGAATCACTTCCTGTTTCAATCACGTGGATTCTACTTGTTTTGGGCATCAATTCCATGATTAATACATGCATGTGTTCAATGATCATAAACTCACTCCCAGCTCTTTCACACACTTTATGTGACATGTAACCGGCTCTCCTCACACCCTGGGGCTATAAAAGCATCGGTCTGCATCACTTAGTAAATAACAGCATCCCAGAATTATTGCTCCTAGAATGGCACATGCCTCTCTGTCGCCACAAAACCTGCTCCACATGCCATCTACACACATTTTTAACTCCGTCCGCCGCATGTAGCAGCTCAGATAACTGTGATATTTTCTACCAGTCTAGTCATGTAAATGTGTGTCTCCGGGACAAGTGTCCGTGGTGTTGACTGTTTAGTGATCTCTGTCGACTGTATGAGCTAGAATCAGACTGCTGACATATGGATGTGATGACATCATCCTAAATATGGAGCTGGAGTGAGACACTTTCTTCAGTTTATAGAGACACATGGTGTGTGACAAATAAGGATTTGTTGTTGAGGT